TTTTTTGTTTTTTAACCTTCACCCGGGGGTATTTTTCCATTGATTTTTAGAGAGTGGAAGGGAGAGGGAGAGAGAAACGAAGGGCCCTGAGGACTCGTCAGGGGACTTGCCTGTCCTGGCGGTGCCACTGGCCTCGTGCTCGGGAGGGATGCTCAGTGCCCGGCCGCTGGCCGCGCTCCACACCCCACGGGGGTCCCTCCCTCCCGGTGCAGAGACTCTGCTCTTCGGGCCTCCCGCTCCTCCAGCCCCCCTCCCTCCGACACGAGCCGGGGCCATGCTGACCTGCTGGGGTGAGCGGGGGCCCCCAGAACCCCGCGGGTACATACCCCGTTCATGGCGATGACCGTCCGCTGCCAGTCTCTGTCCTGCAGGGCCTGGGGGTCCAGCTGAAAGCAAGGGGTTGTGATTACCAGAGGCCCTGGGACCCGTGCTGAGGCCCCGCCAGGCCGCAGCCCACGCCCGCTGCTTCTCCACACCGAGTCGCAATCGGCTCTAAGTGACAATTCTGGAAGCCCCATTTCACGCAGAACTGCCTGGAGGCAATGCCATCCAGAAGTTCGGGCCGCGGCTCTTCCCACAGCGTGCGCTGCGGTCTGGCTGTGGGGCCTGGTGCCCAGGAGGGGCCTCCCGCTGGGCCAGGCTTGTGGCTTAGAGTCTGGCCCAGAAGGAGCCAGCGCCCAGCTCCGAATCACGACGCTAGGGACTCGGGGAGCTGGCCTGCAGGACTCCGCTGTTTAAAGTCACCTAAGGAGTCCCCAGCCCGGCCGGTTAGCGGCTGAGCGTCGACCTAGGAACCGGGAGGTCAGGTTCGATTCCGGCCAGGGTACACGCCCAGGTTGCGGGCTCCATCCCCGGTGTGGGGCCTGCAGAAGGCAGCCGATCTCTCTCTCTCTCTGTCCCTCTCCCTCCCTCTCTCTAAAAATCAACAAAACCGTATTAAAAAAAAATAAAAATCAAAGAACTGAGACTTGGCCAACGCAGCCGACCAGCAAAGGGACAGGGAAAGGAGGGGACGGAGGCCCCTGCCGGACACAGCTCCCCCCGGGGAGACACCACGGCCCGCCGGCCCACCTTGCCCTTGCACAGGAGGTTTCGAAGGTGGGTCCACAGGGTGGTGCCCGGAGCACAGAGGTGCTTGTCCGCACAGACCCCAGGGCTCCGGTGGAAGCAGCGCAGGAGGCCCCGCATGGCGGCCGGAGCGGCCGGCGCCTTTCGCATCCTTGTCCCGCTGGTGGCTGGTCTGAGGGCGAGCAGTGCTGGGCGGGAGGCTGGACGGGCAGCCCCGGCCTCCGCAGCCTTTTGACTGGGGTTTGCAGGAAGCCCCGCCCCTGCAGCCTGGCTCGCCAAGGTCAAAGCTTCCTATGACCCTTGAGTTTAACTTTTTTTGGTCTCTGTTTGGAAAAAACAGCCCCGCCAGCAGCCGATTGGTTACGGGAACTGTGTCGCATCATGGTTTTCTCTAAAGCCCAGAAAAGCCCAATTTCCTTCTCCAGGGGCCATTTCCTGTGGGCGCTGGAAACGCTGAGTAACATGGCTGCCTGGCCCGTGCAGCTGCCTGGCCCGTGCATCGCATGGCAGGAGGCGCTCTGCGGACACCCCCAGGGCCTGCACCACCACAGCCAGTTACCCCAATAATGGCATGCACTGCCTCGGATGGACAGAGCCGAGGACACCCCACGCCTGTCCCCCCTGGATAGCTGGCCCGGTGACGAGGGGATTTGGTGCCATCATCCAACCCAGCACCGAGGTCCAGACCCCCCGCCACCCGGCCCAGAGGCCGAGGCAGGAGCTGGCCTGCAGGTGAGACCCGGGCCACGGGCTGCAGGGGGCTCCGCCCTGGGCCCGGCCCTCGCAGTGGCCCTGGACGGCGGCTCTGGTGGGAGAGGCCATCCCCGGGCTGGCTCGGTTCCAAAGCACAGAGCGTGCTAAGCAGAGCGGAAGCAGCCAGAAGAATAACACGGCGACGAGGAGGCCGAGCGTCGCCCCGCGGCCCCAAACAACAGTCCAGGCTGGCACGCTCTGTCGGTGACTGTGAAAGCGCCAGCGAAGTAAACAAGTGGGGGGTTTGGGAAAACAGACGACCAGCAGCCAGCACCAGGAAGGGGACGTCTCGGGGAAAATGTGAGGGTGCTCCTGACGTCACCTGGGGGTCTCCGGCCGCAGTGCCACTCGGGGGATGGGGCCTGGGCGGCGGGGGATGTCTGCTCACACCCAGTGTGCTCAGGAGAATGGTCTGGATCCTGCTCGTCTCCCCAGGGCTGTGGGCCTGGTGGCCGGCTGCCCTGAAGTCTGCCTAGGAAACTACCCTTTGGGGCTCCGTGGTTGAGCTTCGGACCTATGAACCTGGAGATCACGGTTCGATTCCCGGTCAGGGCACACGCCCGGGTTGTGGGCTCGATCCCCAGTAGGGGGTGTGCAGGAGGCAGCTGATCCATGATTCTCTCTCATCATTGATGTTTCTCTCTTTCTCCCTCTCCCTTCCTCTCTGAAATCGATAAACATATATTAACAAAAAACAAAACAAAAAACTACCCTTTGCACCCATTCCAAGGGGGGGGGGCAGAAGGGCCCGTCCAGGCAGGGCAGGCACTGATGCCACCTGGAGCAGTCTGGCTGAGGACCAGAGCTGCCCTGCTTGCTTGGTAGTTGGCAAGGCCAGCTGGGGCACCCGTGGACTGGCACGGGGTACCCACTCCCCCGCCCTCCGCTGAGGGGAGGGGGGTGCAGCACGGAGCTGTGCTCAGGAGGAAATGCCATTCCCTCCTCACCCGCCTCCTTGGAGACGGCGGTCTCCTCTGTGCCGTCACCGCCCAGAATGGACCGAGGGCTTCCCCGGCTCCTGACTGAGCCCCAAATGCTTGCACATCACCCACTCCCTGGGGCGGTTTTCTTTCTTTAAAAAAAAACCAAACATACACTGGGGATCGAGCCCACAACCCGGGTACGTGCCCTGACCGGGAATCTAACCGTGACCTCCTGGTTCACAGTCGATGCTCAGCCGCTGAGACCCGCCGGCTGGGTGTCTGGACCTATTCTTGCACCCGTCAGACACCCATGGGTGCTGCGCCTTCCCCTCCTCCCAGGAAGTGCCCCCACTCAGCTTATGAGTCAAAGTGCATATGGGGGGCAGGGAGCACCTGGGGGGGAACAGGCCATGCACTCCCCACCCCCCAGCTCTCCACCCCCCCCACCACGAGCAGCAGGACGGCCCGCCCACGCGGCACTAGGGAGGCGCCGGGAGTGACTGGGAAAAGCCTGGTCTCAGGGGGGCTGGGTCCCGGCATGGACGTGCTCCCCCAGGCGCCCCACACAACAGCACCCACAGGGTCAGGGAGCAGGAGGCCTGGCTGGGGTGGCGGGGCCTCATCACCTCTCCCCCTCCTCCTCCTTCCTTCTTCCTCCTGGGGATCCCGGTGCATTAACAAGCCGCCAGGAGCCCAGGTCTCCGGGAGCCCAGCCAGCCCACTCTGGCCTGAGTCACAAACATCCTCTCCCGCGCACCGGGCGGGCGGGATTCCTTCCTGGCTGACGATGCTTGCGGGCCAGACTTCCCATCAGCCCTCCCTCCGAGGAGAGGCCGGGGTGGGGCCCAGCCTCCTTCTCCACGACCAATGACCACAGATCAGAATGACAGCCGCTGCAGACACTGAAGGGCCCACCCCAAGGTACAGGTGTGGGGACACACACACACACACACACACACACACACACACACACACACGGTGAGATGACTCCGCACGGCCACGGGAGGTGTGGCCAGGGAGCTGACAGTCTCTCCTTGAGCAAACTCTAGCCAGGCTGCTCCGGGCTGTTTTCCAGCGAAGCCTCCTCCTGGGCACATCCTCATGAGCCCAGTGATAAGACAGAAGAATCCTGCTGCGTCAGTTCGGCCAGAGGCCATCCCTGATATCTGATGGCCCTTAAACAACTGACCCAATTTCTTATTCTCCCCTGGCCCCCGGGTGAGGTCTGACCCCTGGCCCCGCCCCCAGGTGAGGTCTGACCCCTGGCCCCGCCCTGGCCTGCCTCTGACAGGAACCCCATTAGGTCCGTTCAGCCAGAACCCTCCCACCCTGGTGTTTTCTCTGACTTCCGTCCACTGACACCCCCTCACCCTACTCCTGGGCTAGAAATCCCCACTGTTCCTTGTCGGGGTCAGAGTTGAGCCGCACCCCCCTCCCCTGTGGCAAAGCCCCAGGACAGGGCTCCCTACACTCCTCTCGGGAGCCCCTGGATCTGGGGGACAGGAAGTGACTGTCCGTGGGAACGAGGACATGGCTTTGGGGTGATGGAAATGTTCTACAACTGGACTACTGGCGATAAATAAAGTCTATTTTTATTATTATTATTTTTAAGTCCTCTCCCAAGCATATTTTTCCATTGATTTTTACAGAGAGTGAAAGGGAGGGAGAGGATAGAGAGAGAGGAACACCAGTGTGGGAGAGACACATTGATTGGTTGCCTCCTGCATGCATCCCAACCAGGGCCAGGGATCGGATCGAACCTGAAACCCAGGTGCGTGCCCTTGACCAGGAATTGAACCTGAAACCCTTCGGTGCCCAGGCCGATGCTCTAACCACCGGGCCATACCAGCCAGGGCAAGATCGTTACACTCCTCCCAGAAGCGCTGGCCTCATAACCACTTGCCTTGAGGAACCAAAGCCCAGCTGGATAAACAAGTGGAACTGGACTTCCTCTGGGGACACACTGGGGCCTAACGGACACTCACACGGACAGACAGACAGACAGACAGACGGACGGACAGACGGACAGACGGGGCTGAGGCGGGGCGGAGGCGGCGCGGCCTCACCTGGACCTGGCCCTTCCCCATGATCCTGTCGGTGCTCTCGCCGTCCTCCTTCGCGATCTTCGTTTTGTTGTAACACTTCTCGTAGCACAGGATCCTCAAGGTCTGGGAGCCTTCCAGCTCGATCTCAAACTCCTGCAGCGCCGAGAAAGGACAGCCCCACGTCAACAGCCGGGTCCGAGGGGGGCGGTCCCTGCCGCTGGCCGCAGGGGCCCTCCGCGGGGCGGCGTCTCACCAACCGCTTCCTCGCTGCCCCCGGAGGACCGGGCCTGGAGGCCGCCCCCACTTCACCCCGGGGATGCAGACCCCAGACGCTACGGCCCCGCGAGCATCACACCGCGACCCTGGCTGGATGCTTCTGGAAGCTCCGAATGACTCATGTTGTTGTTGTTGTTAATCCTCACTCGAGGATATTTTCCCATTGATTTTTAGGGAGAGTGGAAGGGAGAGGGAGAGACAGAGAGAAACACCGATGTGAGAGAAACACATCGATGGGTTGCCTCCTGCACGAGCCCCGACCAGGGCCCGGGCTGGGGAGGAGCCTGCAACCACTGATCCAAGCAGCAAGCGCCGAATGACTCTCAAACCTAATCCCAGCCCCCGAAGCCAGCATCTCACAGGGCGGCGGGTCAGAGACAGACATTGTATGTATGGCCTTTGGGAGATGATGATGTATCCGTGTAGGTTCGCTCTAACACATGTCCCATCCAGGGGCCGTGCGTGTGTGCGTGTATGTGTGTATGTGTGTGCATGTGTGTATGCGCGCGCATGTGTATGTGTGTGTGCATGTGTGTCGGGGCAGAGGGTATAATGAGAAACCGCAGTCCTTTCTGCCCCACTTTGTTGTGGACCCGAAGCTGCTCTTTCTATATCTGAAAGGGAAAAAACCACCGATGCAGGAGGTGATCGGGGGAGAGGGGCACTTCAGAGGAAAGACCTGCCCCAAAGGCTTTCGGGGTGTCTGCTGGGAGGTGTGTCACCCACAGACCTTCAGGCCATTCTGCACCTCACACCAATGCTTCTGTGGGCCTGGGCGTTTTTTAGACATAGATATACTAGAGGCCCGGGGGTCCCTTGGCCTGGCCTGTGGGGATCGGGCTGAAACTGGCTCTCTGACATCCCCCAAGGGGTCCCGGATTGCAAGAGGGCGCAGGCCAGGCCGAGAGACCCCACCAGTGCACGATCGGGCTGGGGAGGGGCTGTGGGAGGGCTCCAGGGCGTGTCTGGCCAGTCTTGCCCAGTCCCGATCAGCCGGACCCCAGCAGCAAGCTAACCTACGGGTTGGAGCATCTGCCCCCTGGTGATCAGTGTGTGTCATAGCAACTGGTCGAACCGTAGGACACTAAGC